AAGGTCAGCTATGATACAAGTATGATAGAGCGAATCGTTTCCAACACCCTTAGGATCCGGACCCAGCGGTAGTTTATTATACCATAATATCATGCCATAAAATCTTACAGTTGTAGGAGCAGACCCCCGCCATACGGCCTCTACCTATACCCCCCTTTTATCCTCCGGCGTGGGATATCTCTGGATGAAGTAAGAGAGCTAAAGATGATCGCCTCTAAGAGTACGGATTCAAGTACCCCACTACCCATTCCATCCTTCCCAACTCATGACATTTTTCAAACGAGAACCGTTGGTAGAAGGTAGTAAATTGAATCCAAAGGTTCATCACACTCGTTCGACTGTTCTGGCAAGTATGATGGTTCGTTTAATATTACCACTCCCCCCCGTTTGGGTTTCACTAGATTCCGTCCCAACCCCCGCTGTCTCTTCCTTTCGGCTTTCCAACTCACTCGATCCCCTCGGTACATTGGGGCTATGGTTGACGGACACATTTGGTAAGGTCAATCCTACTCCGCACCGGGATAATTGGAGAGATCTACAGTATTATACAAAATGGTTACATATTTCCGATGTATATACTCCAGAAGTAAAAGGTATGTCGTTAGTAAATCGAGTTATTACGTCCACCCCCATTCCACCCTGACTTCTTTCCCACTTCCCCCGCCCGGTTCGGATTATCGTCGAATACAATGCCAGAAAAAATTTGGAGCCCCGAACAGACAAGAATCGCTTCCTTGGTAACTTATAAGCTAAAAGACGACCGGGAGGTTCTGATGAGTGGAGTGTACATTTGGGAGGTGGTCATCGTACGTGGCGGGAAAAGTGACGCTGCCGTAGGATGCGTAGATTCTAATGTGGTGGAGATGGAGGGGGCGTGATGGGAGATCAATCCGGAGTATAATAATCGCAGACTTGCCTCCGTTCCGAAAAAATATATATTTCCCGCGACGACATGCTGCGATCGGCATGCCGCAGACTCTCACACTAGAGAGTTAACGTTCGCCGCGTCCAGAAGGGACTGCGCTAAATACAGGAATTGGAAAACTGAGCAAACCTCAAATTCACAATCCCATCATAGTTATATCACCGAATTGAGAACTTCGAGATAGAATTGCACAAAAAAAAACCCCCCCTCCTTTATCCTTTATAGTTATCCCATCACACATTACTAACTTTTGTAAGAGTGAAAACTCAAAGAATGGCAATGCGGCACTACAGCTAGAGTATCATACAAAACCATGGCAAGAAAAATGAAATAGGGGAAAATTGACCCGTGCTGATAGACTGTGTCCATCGAGAGAGATAACTGATAGAGAATGGTGAAAGCTAGTCACTATCACAATGGCCCCCCCTGACGCAATGCGCAGATGAAGTATCTAGCGACTTAAACCAATATCCTCTAGTGTTAAGTAAGAGCCATACTCGCTAACGTACTACCCGGCCCTCCGCACCCGGTAAATCGACAAAGTATGTCGGTCTGGATCCGGATATCCACACAGGGCGTATCGCTGTATATTAAGCGAATAACTTTAAGCTTATTTCCGTTGGAACGGACCCGCGAGCAAGTGCCCAATGGCAATATGGAGGGGGGGGGGGAAGGAAAGGGAGGAAAAGAGTAGAGAAACAAATCGGACCAACTCAGCCTGTCTAGTACAAAGCACGGGAAAGGTTTTCAAGACGGCAAGAGCGTGAAGCAATTTTGTAGAGGGCGGCGGGCCTCCCTCTCCAGTGGAAATAAGGATAATATTATGGAACCACGGGAACCAAGTGCCGGGACGGTGGGGCCACGACCCACGTGAAATGCCCGCGAGTGAGAACGCATGAGGACTCGAGGCACGTCGGTCACCCAAACAAACAAACAAACCTTTCAAGGTATCATACCGTAGCTATCACTAGCAAAACATCTGTAAATTTGACAAAATATAGATATGGAGTTAACTACCAACCACACAACCCGGTGATATAATAGCAAGTCCGCCCATCCTACCGAACACTTCCGACAACTTCTAACTAACACTCTAACAGGTAGACAATACAATACAATACAATACACAAAAAACCAAGATAAAAATATACCTCAATCATATGAGTCCACAACGGTTGATCTTAGTTTAAAAGCCCCAGCACCACGTCAAGGTGTCAACCACGCTGGGGTCCCACGAGCCACCCGATCACGAGCGGATGATAGCCACTTTCTTTATAAAAAAAACCCCATCATATCATATCAAACCGTGGTCTAAAGTATCGCTCCTTCACATCAGGCACCCTCTTTTTGAGGCGTGTTACCTATTGCTCACCGTTGGCAATGGTAAAGACGATACTGCTCGTGGGAGCCGGGACGCTCCCGGCAGGGCAGGAACTCTAGCTGTCGTTTACAGTCCCGGAGCTCCTCCGCAACTGTGATGCAAAGTCCATGGAGAGGAAAGAAGGAAGGGGATTTAGTGGGGGGGGTGGCTGTATTTATAGGAATCCAGGGGGGGGAAAGAAAGTTTTTTTTTTCTTCCATAGAATTTTCAAGAGGGTGGAGGTGAGGCTTAGGTTTTCGGACAGTAGCGTTCATGGAAGGGCTTTTATGATGCTATAATATTTTGATACTAGAAATAGGCCCTAGAAGTGTCGAGGTGGGACTGCTAGTAAGAGTAATTACTGCCTTCCAGTTGCTTGGTATCGTATTTTTATTTTTATTTTTATTTTTCAGTGTTTCCCAATGCATTACCCACATCCTAGCACGTGTGCTCACGTGACCGGTCATTTTGAGAGATCTACGAAGTTTTATATAATAAGATAGTGGTGGGGCAAACCCCTCGCCGGGAAATTGCTGTGATACCCCCACCAGCGCCTGTATATCTTTACACAGTAGGGGGGGCATAATGCTCATCTCCCCAAGAATTCATCTGAGAAAAAGCTGTTCTATTTCCACAGTTTTAAAAGTATGATAGCAAAAAGCATTCGATAATTACTCTCACATCATATCCTCGCTTCGCCGCCGGTCGAGTCGTTTTTCTCCTCCCGATTCCCGAAAAGGTCAGCGGGTGATAACATGTCCTTGCCAATGATCTGACCACCGTGAATGAACACCGATCAAGCCCCACTAACCAAGATATTAGCAGGATATAAACCTAACCATTGAAAATTCGTCAAAAAACAAATAAGCAAATGGCCCTGGTAATAGCTTTGAGTTTAGCATAAAATGTAACCTTTAATCACCTTCATAGAGCGACTATATTTCTTCATCTAACTCTAGGTTGATTTTGTGACATTCAGTTTCCCCAACAACCCCAACCACCCCCTCTGTAAACATGAGCTTTATGCTAGTTCTCCCCGAGATGGCACCTCGCATCAGCGCCCTCAAGCACTGCGGCCACGGAGTCCCAAGCCGGGGCATGGGAACCCCCCTCGTTTGGAAAGACTGGTTCCAAAAAGCATAATGTATCGGACCGGAAAGAGGGTCAGACGCAGAAGCGAATCATTTTGTACTAGCACGTGGATTTTGCCAAATCCTCGGCGCAGAATTCTAGCCAAAATAAAAACACCAAATATAGCCCAAAATAAGGAATGTCCGACATGCTACGCTATCAGCAATATCTCCCACTCCCCCAGGTTTCCTCTTCCTATCATGCTGTTGGGCGCCGATTGGCGTTCCCAGATTCCGGAATTCCCGCTGCGTTTCTGCGGATTCACCCCTCCGGCTGACCCGCTTCCAGCCTAATACCCCCAACCCGGCGCCGGCGACCTTTTAGCAATCAGCAACCCCTGCCGATCACGTGTAGCCTCCTGCACCCTAGAGCCTTCACACAGTTCCTGCCCCACATTCTCGGGCATCTCCCAAGCGTTGCGTATCGTTCCGTCATCACCCAAAAGACCAATGAACCGGACGTGCTTGCCTGCCAATCCCCCAAAACTCTTGCTGTCAGCCCCTTCAACAGTAAGTTATTCGTTCCTTGGGCTTAGCAGCCACTATTCCCCATAATCCTACCCGGCAGGGAATTACCCACCAGCATCCCTCTCACCGGGGAATTTTTCAGTTTTCCCTGTACGGAAGGTTATCCTCCACCGCGCTTTCCACCGGAGGCCGCTCAGTTCTCCCCATGCAGCAAGCTATTTACCCTCACCCCTTCTGCTAGAGAATTGTTTATTCCCTCATGTCTGGCAGGGGATTATTCTTCATCCGTTCTTTTAGGAACTGTTCATTTCCCCCTGCACCTCTTGTCCGAGCCATTCTTCTTCATCCAGCACAATATTCATGTTTCTTCCGCACGAAAAGGGACCATCCATCAGGTATTTTCGTCCTCCCCATTGCCTGTCAGGAGGTTCCTATGAAAACGGCAAGCCAGCAAAAGCGGTAGAGAGGAAAGGAAGAAACAAAACAAGTGTGGAAACGCATAAAAGTGGTATGAAGTGGAAGGGAAAAAAGAAGAGGGAGGAGAAAGATATTTACGCGCAACTAATGGAAAAAACGCCAAGCATTGGGGATGTTTGGCCTATCCCAAAAGCTTGGGTTTCAGAGCTGTAGTATTTGTAATGCCATAAATATCCGCAGTGGCAGGAGCACGGTACTCGTTAGCCTTAAACCGCATGATAAAAAACGACCCTGTTGTGTGAGAGCTCCAGAAGCCAAAGTGCGAAATCTCGCGATGCGACTCTCCCATTCCTTCCTAATTTCGCCAATATCACCTAAACGAGGGAATCCATCGGTAAAAAAAGCCACACAACAATCAATCACACAATCTCACTCGCATACCCAATAAGCCCACTTACTGTCTTAAGTCTTACGTCAACGGGATGGAAAGCGCAAGTGAGTCCAATAATCACACCGGCCATGCTGCCATACTGCCTACATCGAGAAATTTCTATGGCAGGGTTACATTAATGTATACAGACGGCTTGCTTGATCATGCCACTCGTGCTAATCCCCGGATTTTTTTTTTTTATCCGGTCTACTCCGTCTTAGACCCCCACCCCTTGTGCTAGGCGACCCCCGGCTGCGTATTATTGCCACCGTACTCCTAAAGATTGGATTTCCATGATACAAACAACCAAATGAAGCTTCGACCCTACTTACATAACCTCACTTTCCCAATCACAAGCTCACCCATGCGGGATTCTTGGAGTACCACACCGTCCGTCTCCCAGTTGACAGAATGGGCCCGAAAATGTCCCCTATCTCCCTCTGTATTACGGCGGATCCCGCTACCTACCGCCAACCACACCGCCCTATATGCATTGAGGGACGCAGGGTGCACGATGGAAGCCATGATATATAACGACTAGGGACTGTCAGCCCAGTCCCCTAACTATTTGTCTATTATTTATCTATTCATTTCTACAAAGAAATAGAGTCATAACAGAGGCGAGGCGAGGGATGACAAACAGGTATCATACCCTAAAACCAATGGGGAACAAAAACAGCAGTATCGGTTGACCTTCTTGAATGTGCAAAAACGAGTGGGCTTGGGTGCATTTGTTAGAGTGCAAGAGGTTAGGTCGAATAAGCTCAATTGCGCTCAGAACCGGGATGTCGTTGAAAACACATACCACCAGGCCGAATCACTATATTTGTAGATGCGGTCCAGTGTTCCAGTAGTGATCCGAGCTAGACACGAGGCTTGGCTTGTCCAGTTACATGAGACTAGATGCTCCTGTGTACAGTATAATTGGTTACCATCGCGGCAAAAATAAACTTCAAGGGGACCCACTAGCACTTAGTTCGCGCAAGCTTTGAGAGTAACGCTCAGCCCTCATCCGTCTCCCGAAACAAAAAAAAAAAAAAAAAAGAGTTCTTTTGATCCCAACCCGAGATACACCGCAAACCCCAAATGAAGTGATTATAGGAAAACATAATAAACACAGTCTACGAATACAGCTTCTTGCTAAAATCATGCAATCCATGAACATTCCCTTCGGCCTGAGCAGAGACAGTTCTGATTTCGAAGCGTACAATGCCGTCTTTGACGGCTTGCTGAAGCTCAGAAACACTCCGAACCCCAATATCTTGGAAAGAGTGCTGAAGGCCAGCTTGAAGGTATGGGACAAACTTCGTTACCGAGCCGCGATCCAAAACAGAACCACTATATTCAGTTTGTTATAACCCGGCATTACCGATAGAGAAACTCCATGACGTACCTTACTCCTTGAGCAACCCGGATCTTGTCACCCTCAGAGAAATACCTTCCAGTAGCAGCATTATCCCCACTCTTCGTGCTCTCCATCGCATCAATGCTACCCATCCCACGGTAGGCTTTGACAAGCTTACCCTCAGCGCTCAAGAAGTACTTGCCAGGTGACTCGGTCGTTCCAGCCAAGAGGCCGCCCATCATGACAGTGTTGGCGCCAAGAGCAAGGCCTTTTACTATATGGCCAACGTTCTGAATGCCTCCGTCTGCGATACAAGGAACACCAAAACGGCTTGCAAACTCACAAATGCTGTAAACAGCAGCCGCCTGAGGGCGCCCAACTGCCATGACCTCCTGGGTAATGCAGGCCGACCCAGACCCCATACCAATACGAAGACCATCAGCGCCGGCAGCAATCAGGTTTGCAGCCTGTTCTCTGGTAACAACGTTTCCGGCAATGACATCAACATTGGGGAACTCCCCCTTGATCCACTTGACCATAGAAATCTGGTACATGCTGTTACCCTGGGAGCTATCCAAGATTACAATATCCAGGCCAGCCTCGACAAGCTTTCTTAGTCTAGCCTTGTCATCCTCACGGGTACCGATAGCGGCAGCGCACAGCAATTGCTTGCTATAAGGGCGCTTGGAAGCGAGAGGAAAGTGAAGGTTCTTCATCAGGTCGGATCGGGAGAGGAGTGCGGTAAGATTACCGGCCTTGTCAACGATTGGGAGCTTTCCCTTCTTCGAAGAGCGAAGGATTTCATTGGCTTCGGACAAGGTAATCCCTTCCGGCGCGGTAAGTAGCTCGGTGGTCATGACCGCCGAAAGAGTGGTAGTGTTGTCCTTGTGGAATTGAATGTCTCGCATAGTGACGATACCGATAAGCTTCGAGTAGAGATAGCCGTCCTCTAAAGAAGGCCTACTATTAGCAATAAATCCCGCATGCTAAAAAGTTGATAGATGAAAGCAAAAAATACTGCGTGGCCATTATCAGATAATTTCAGTTCTCCACACGAGATTTACGTCGATACGGTTGAACGAAAGTTTGATAGATTTCGAATCATCATATAGAGCCTGTTCGAAAGCAGCTAACTAAGAAAGTTCGGCTCCTTACCTGTAATAGGAATTCCAGCAAATCCTTGCTTCTCCTTGACTGCTCTAACATCCCCGACAGTGTTCTTTGGACCCATAACAACAGGATCCAAGATAAACCCGTTCTCGTACTTTTTGACCTTTCTCACCATTTCGGCTTGGTCTTCAGCAGTGCAATTGTGGTGAATGACACCGACGCCACCGAGAAGTGCCATGAAAATAGCCATCTGTTCCTCAGTCACAGTGTCCATTGGAGAAGAAACCAACGGGAGCTTGAGCGAAATCCGCTTAGTGATTTTTGAATCGAGGGTCACATCGGATGCCGGAAATCCAATATAGCCCGGAAGGATAAGAAAGTCGTTGTACCTATCCTCACGGGAGGACATCGGATCAGGGCGGATCGACCCGGCAGACGGAGGCAACGGGGGTGCAAGGGGGAACACGAAACTCACGTTAAACCTCCACGCTTGGAAGTATCAAGGAGAGAACGGACACCTAAGCCATCTCTCTCATATTCCTTCTCTACAACGCTAAGAGCGGTCGAGAAGTCAAGGATTTTAGGGTTTGCTGCCGTAGAGGACATTGTAGAGGAACCGTAAGGAGAGAAAGACAGTTACTTGCAATCAATCGGAGGTGGGAGAGAAAAGGAATTTGATTGAGCAAGGGATACCGGTATACCAGTCCAAGAGAAAGAAAGAAGGAAAGAAAAGAAAGAGAGGGAAGAGAGGGAAGAGGAAGGTAAAGACTCAAGTTAGGGTTAGGGGGAAATTCTGGGGGAAAAAAGGGTTTGTTAGCGGTAATTCATTGCTCGCGTCAGGGTTGTTGGTGGGGCAATTTTGGACTGCGTGGGATGGAGGAGGCTAGACCACACTTGTTCATCTGATAAAGATATGACAATCTAGGGCACCTTTTGAAAGGTTTCGCCATCGGGATAACTTGTATGGTATCATCACGCATGAGCCAGGGCACAAAATCACAGCAAGCCAGAGTGCGGTATTAGTAATCAATTAGAAGTGATTTTCAAAGGGCAAGCAAGCGATGAGAAGCTCGTCTACCGTACCGGCAGTTTCGACCCCAAAGTGCAGATTGACGGTTTCCGGCTCGTCCTGGCGAGCCCTGCTGCCTGTTTCAGAATTTGGTTGGTAGTTCAGCCCAACCTGGTTCACACTAGCCAACCCTACACCCAATAAGGAAGATTGTTTACCCAAGACCCCCGAGACACAACACCTCATTGTCTCCAGCGACTGACCCGCATAAAACTTGCATTTGAAGCGGCCTGGGCTTGCATCACAAGACAAACCTGACGTTCTCTTGTTAATTGTACTTAGTACGGTACGAGTACCCTATAGAATTCCCCCTCCCCTCTCCTCTACACACCTAGCTTAACTGGAAAGCCCTCATAGCCTTCCGTCCTGCCCAATCTTCCTCAACGACCGCCCTTGCCCAGAGCCGGTTTGTCAGTCGGTCTCTTTTCTACGCAAAGGAACCGTAAGTCCCTTCTCCGCGTGTTTGTGCCTGAATGCGCACTGGCCACATTCATTATTTGTTTACTGCCCAGACCTCTATCGGCCTGCTCTAATACCCTACTCGAGTACATTACAGGGCCCCAAACCACGCCAACAACTTCCTCCCGCCATTATCATCGTCCCCTTACTCTTGGTCCCCCCTCCCCCTCACATTCCTCTCTTTATCGCTATACCCCATACCTCCATTTGCTCCCGGTGCAAGTTATTATTTTGTGCCGTCCATTCCTTTTGCAATGTCTCTATACGCAAACCCGTCACCACACAGACGACAGCCATCAAACGCATCAACCGTGTCCGTAACGTCGACAGCCTTCTCTTTCCCCTCTTCCCGCTCAACCACTATCAGCTCAACAACATCAAACTCCTCCCGGTTCGGCTCTGTCGAGGCCCGGGGGGGTTCTACGAAACACAAACATACAATGTCTCTTGGTGCTAACATAGCACCCATGGTTTCCTCATACACCGCAAACTCTATTCCTACGACACCCCCAAGACCCTCCACTGGAATAGCAAACTTCTCCCCTTTGGAGTCACGCCACACCCGCGGCAATAGCCATCCGCCCAGTGTCCCTGGGTCGCCACAAAGCAATGCCACTGGCTCACCAAGGTCGATACAACGACCTTTCCCGACACCGACGCCCTATAATTCGTCCTTTCGACAATCCGTGATCTCCGGCACTACCTCTCTCAAAGAAAGCGATATCGATTCACTGCGTAATAGCAGTGTCTCTCATTTCCGTACCTTATCCCGAATAAAGAATGAAGGTTCCAATGAGGAATTTGCCATTGATGCTGGGCAGGACGTAGCGGGGATGTATGGTCGGAAGCGATTACAGAGAGCAAATACCGATAACCTGACAAGTTGGGAAAGAATGAATTGGATGGACAAGCGGCGGCAGTACATCCAAGCTTACGAGTACTTGTGTCATATCGGCGAAGCCAAAGAGTAAGCCCCATCTAAGATTCAGCATGTGTGCTCAGCTTACCCGGTTTTTGAGCAGATGGTTAGAAAACTGCATTGGCGAACCAATCCCCCCAGTTGTCGAGCTGGAGGAAGCACTAAGGGATGGTGTGACTCTCGCGAAGTTGGTACGGGTATTCGCGCCCGAATTGGTGCCCAGAATATTCGAAGCAAAAAAGCTACAATTTCGCCATTCAGACAACATAGACCGCTTCTTCAAATTCCTCAAGAGAGTCGAGCTTCCAGAAGTATTGCCCCCCTTTATCCTCAGCAGCTGCACTCAGGGTCATCGGCTAACCCACCATAGATCTTCATATTCGAACTCACTGATCTTTACAACAAAAAGAATATCCCCAAAGTAATTTATTGCTTACACGCACTCTCTTATCTCCTCATCCGCCTTGGTCTTACGGATAATTCTATTGGTAATCTCGTTGGAAAACTTGAATTCACGGAAGCCGAAATTCAAAATACCCAGCGAGGTCTTGATATGGCTGGAGTCAGTCTACCTTCTTTCCGAGGCGTGAACAAACATTTCGGCGATGTAGAGCCAGAACCGGAGCCGATTGAATCAGAAGAGGATAGGATCGAAAGGGAATTGAAAGAGCTGGAACCAGACATAACCGAGTTGCAGAGATTATGCAGAGGGTTTCTGGTCCGCAACAGGTTGGGCCACCATATGGAACTCCTTTGGGATTCGGAGGATTCGATCACCGAATTACAGGCCCTTATCAGAGGGATGTTTTCCCGTATAGCGTTCGGATATAAGGTAGACATGGCCAAATGGGCCAGAGACGTTCAGGCACACACCAGAGGTTACCTCATTCGACAAGCTATATTACGCCAATTACGACACTTTACGAGCCACGAGAGATTGATCATACGACTTCAGGCCCGATACCGAGGAAGAGAATTAAGGGAGAGGTTCAGGAAACAGAGGGTGGAACTGGAACTAGCAATGATTGGAATTACGGAGTCACAAGCCGCCGCAAGGGGTATGCTGTTAAGGGCGAAACTGTGCGCTCAAATGGGTGATCTATATGAGAATGAGGGCGATGTCATGGATCTCCAAGCAAGAGCCAGGGGTGCTTTGTTGCGGATGAGTCTCGCTGTCAAGATGGGCGATGTTTTCGAAAGTGAGCAAGGAATCACCGATGTACAATCCGTAATCCGTGGAGTGCTGGCGCGGAGGAAGAAAGACCGTCTGCTAAGCGACTTGAATGATGCCGGGAAGGAAGTTACAGCACTCCAGGGAGCCATCCGAGGGGGGTTCGTGAGGAAAATGATTTCAAAAGATGCTGAAAATTTAGAAAAAGCCGATGATTCTCTCACCAGAATTATTGCCGGTGCCCGAGGTATGCTTGTGAGGAAAGCCATCCGACAAGATCTCGCAGCCTTGAAGGAAGTAGAGATCATGATTTCGATACTACAGGCCGCCGCTCGGGGTGCATTGATCAGGAAAACGATGGAGAGAGACCAAGGAACCCTCCAAGCCGAGGACGATGTTCTTCCATACCTTCAGGCGGCCATTAGAGGCTATGTGGTTCGTCAGAACTTCGGCTCAGACAAAGCAGCCGTTGAGGCCAACGCGGAATTGTGGACCAGACTACAGGCTATCGGAAGAGCAACCCTTGTCAGAGCGGAATACCGGCGGAAGCTAGAGCTTCTCGAGGAGGCTTCCGAAGAGGTGATACAACTTCAAGCCCATGTCCGGGGTGCCCTAGCCAGGAGCGCCTTTGACGCCATACTGGATGAGCTGGTTGCCCAAATTGGAGGGGTGGTTGACTTGCAATCAAGAGCTCGGGGCACGCTCCAACGCTGGGCTGTCTCGGACATTCTAGATGCCCTCGATAGTGAGGCTGACAGTATCACTGATGTCCAAGCACACACTCGTGGATTCCTATTTCGCCAACGGCAAGGGCGATTCCTAGATGAACTATTTTCCAAAATAGATTCGATCATCGAAACGCAAGCTGCAATACGGGGAGTTCTGGTCAGAAGTTATGTGGACGATATCATTCTAGCAGTTCAGGACGAAGAGGGTGCAATTATTGAGCTTCAGGCTATGGCACAAGGCTTTTTACAGAGGAAAGTATTCTGCGGGAAACTAAAGCATTTTAAGGAGAACATGGAGAAGGTTGTGAAGATTCAGAGTTTTGTTCGAGCAAAGCAGCAAGGGGAGGCCTATAAGTCACTAAGTAAGGACCATTCGCTATCCCAATGATAAAATCACATACTTATGCTTCTCTCTCTAGTGGGCGGTAAGAATCCACCAGTCGGGACCGTGAAGAACTTTGTCCACCTTCTCAATGACAGCGATTTTGATTTCGACGAAGAAATCGAATTTGAAACGCTTCGGAAGAATGTTGTCCAGCACGTCCGAGCCAATGAGCTGGCCGAAGCCTACGTCAGTCAGCTTGACATCAAAATTGCCTTGCTTGTAAAGAACAAGATCACCCTGGATGAGATCATCAAACACCAAAAGCGATTTACCGGCCATGTCGGAAATCTACTCAGCAATACAGCAATAGCTAGCTCCGATCCCTTTGACCTCAAGGCCCTCAACAATAACTCTCGTAAGAGGCTCGAGCGTTACCAACAAATGTTTTTCGCCCTGCAGACCCAGCCACTATACCTCACTAGATTATTCAAACGAGTTCGGGAGCAGAATACCCCTGATCAAGAGATGAAGAAAATCGAAAATTTAGTGATGGGAATTTTCGGATACGCTCAGAAGAGACGCGAGGAGTACTACCTACTAAAGCTGATTGCAAAGAGTATCAAGGAGGAAGTGGACAACTGCAGCCGTCCAGAAGAGTACCTGAGAGTGAACTTCTTTTGGATGAAACTAGCCATGAATTACATTCGATCACCAAGGGATAGAAAGTTCATGCGGCACGCCCTTGGCACCCTAGTTAGGGAGGAATTTATCGAGAACGAGGAGCTCGACCTCGAATGTGATCCCCAGCAAATTTACTTATCGTCCATCAACAATGAGGAACTCCGAACTGGTCAAAGATCGAGGCGTGATCCAAGCGTTGGCCGTGACATAGCAATCAAGGACCAAGAAACCCGAGAAACCTTTGTCGCTCACCTCTCTGCTCTGAGGAACCTTGCGTACGACTTCATAAGCTCTCTCGAAGACAATCTCAACCTCATGCCATATGGCATAAGATATATCGCCCAACAATCTGTTAAAGCACTCACAGAGCGGTTCCCCGATGAAAGCGAGGAAGCGATCCTGCAAATTGTTGAGCATTTCATATACCAGAAGTATTGGGGCCCCGCCGTAGTGGCTCCCGAGAGCTATGGTATTGTCGAGAAAACCCCGACTCCGATGCAGAAGAAAAACCTCGCTGAACTTGGGAAGCTCTTGAATCAAATTTCCAGTGGACGTCTCTTTGCACAAGCCAATCTCTTCTTACAGCCTCTCAATCACCACATCCCCGAGGCAGTTGACCGGATGAAGAGCATCTTCAGGACAATCGTTAGCGTTCCTGATTTGAAAACGCGTTTCGACATGGACGAGTTTGAAGATCTCACAAGCAAAGAGAAACCTACTCTTTATATCAAGATGTCAGACATCTTCACCATCCACCGTTTGATTGCCCAGGACATTGAATCAATTGCGCCTAGCAAGGAAGATCAGATGAGAGTCATTATCAGTGAGCTTGGCAGTGTCAAGACTTCAGAAGCTGAGCTGAAGAATGTTGGGAATACCGAGATTGGGCTCCACCTTGACCCTCACTTCCAGAAAATTGAAGACCCGGATAGCGAGGTTAACGCACTATTCGTTGAAACTAAACGTTGCATTCTTTACATCATCCGCGTACAGACCGGCTCCAATCTTATGGAAATTCTCGTAAAACCTATCGCAGCCGAGGATGAGGAACGGTGGGAGATCCTCCTAGAGGAAGAGCGAGCGCAAACTGGAAAAAAGAATGCTTATGCGGACGCGACAGCCCTTTGTGGCATCAATTCGTAAGTATTTTCTCCCTGATCCCAGTACAGCGCTAACATAACCCACAGCATGACATACGGAGAGCTCAAGAGGACTGCCTTAGAATGTATAATTCGATTAGAATCAACTGGGAAAATCACTCGCAAGAACCAGTACCAGGATCTTTTAAACGCCATCGCGCTCGATATCCGAACGAAGCACAGACGCCGAGTCCAGCGAGCCAGGGAAGTTGAAGGTGTCAAATTAACGCTTGCGCATTTGAACGAGAAGGCCGTCTACCTAGAGGGCCAACTTCAGAGCTACAACGACTACATCGAACAGGCGATGGTTACCCTCCAGACCAAGAAGGGGAAAAAGAAGGTTGTCCTTCCTTTCACTCGACAGTATTTCCATATGCGAGAACTTCAGAAATCTGGCCGGGTGCCCGAATTTGGATCTTTCAAATATAATGCAAGAGGATTGGCAGATAAAGGTGTGTTAGTGAGTTTGGCGGGCTTTCCTGAGCGGAAATGGGATAAAATTGGCTTCACTATCTCCTCTGAAGTAATCGGTGTTTTCCATATTGAAGCCAGCAATGGCACTATGATGGTTCCCGGGGCCAGCGCAGATGTCTTGTTGGACGATTTATTACAGGTATGCCAGTTCAAAAACGAGCATAAGTCATTTGAGAAACTAACACCCCTTTAGAGACAGTTCCACAACAACCAGTTTCTGGTGGTGTGTGATGGTATGATCAAGTTTAACGTAAACTTGCTTCTTCATCTTATCTTCCGGAAGTTCTACCGGGACGAATGAACGGTGTCTTCTACTGTTTCTCATGCCTTTTTAGCGTTCCTTCTATTGTTCTTGAATCATAGCACAAAATCATAGCATGTTCTTTCCTTGGTTGGGTACAGCGGTATTGAAGTAGGGTTGGGTATAAAAGTGGCCGGCTGGATACTAGGGGTGAGGCGTTCTCTTGTCTATCATACCACTCTTCTTTGTATGTGTTTTCTTGTTTTCTCCCGTTTCCCAGAGCATTCATGCCAGGGACTATTCTCCCGTCCAGTTTTTACTCAAGCTAAACCCTTTCTCCCTTTCTTTGTAAATCGCTCATGTTTTCTCTTTATTTTTGGTGGGAGTTGGCTTCTTTCGTCCCTAACTTTCTCGTTTTCCCTTTTTATTATCTCTTCGCGATGGGCTGGCCTGGACAACAGATACTCATATCTTATACCCTTCTTTTCCCTGAATGGGTCATTGCTGTAAAACTCCGATTTACAATACAGTCTGCTCCAGTGCTGTGAGACTAGCACCGGGAGCACCGTACCCGTGCAGAAAATAGGCTCCACAAATTAATCCCGACAAACCAGGTTGCAAAGTCTTCCCTACTTGTACACTCACCACTCCAGAATCTCGCGATGCGGGAACAGGCCGTGGCCCTCACCCAACCCAGAATTGAATGCCCTAGTTTGTTTCCGAGCTCACGTAATGCGATAAATGCCCATTGAAAAAAAATCCCCAGTGCGTTCGGCCAGAGGGCATCGAAAGTTTCGCACTCCGTCCGCTCTACGGTAAACAAGCAATCCATCGACTAGTTACCATTACGGTGGATGGCCACGTGAGAATCCCAGTTGCTGAGTTCTGTTTATGTTTTTGTTGACGTTTCGGACTTTTTTTTTTCCCCGGCGGGGTCATGCTCTCCCCTAAGTAGAGTTGGGCCGGTCGGCAACTCAGCTTCGGGAGTTCCTTAGGGGGGGTGTGTGTGGATAGGACTAGCCAGTGGAACCTTCTGCGTGGATATTAGTTGAAAGTTTTACTAGTATCAACTACAATATCGCTCGTGACGAGTACCTCTCCCGATTATCGTGGGCAGTACATGTACCGGTTGGTTGGTTGTATCAAGCCGTGTTTGTTGTGGTTGAGCACTGAGCAATTAGAGTGAGTGATTTACCATGATCTGGGTCTTGCTATGATATAAGCCAGATTTAGAACATCTCCGGCAAGCCCGGAAGAAGCCACCGCCACTACGGCCGGCGATCCTTTCCCGGCCACCAATTTAGTTTTCCTGCAGGGTCAGAAGGGGAGACACGTCGTTGCAATGGTTCGTGACGAGTGATGATCGAGTATCATGGACACTTGCAGTTGCTACGGTAACGCGTGATGCAGGGTTTCTTACGCGCCATGGCTTCCCTAAACAAACAGCAAGCCTGACCTTTCAAAGAGTCAAAACCTTCAAGCCCCCTCTCCCCTCTACTTTCCGATACTTTACTTCCCCCGTCAATCCTTCATCCCCCCCCAAAAAAATCCACCGACTGGCAACAAAAGAGAGCAACTAGATTTTTAAACCCACAATTGATCAAGTTGTTTGTGTAGATTGAGAAGTAGAGGAAACCACGGTTCGATTTTGTCGCTCCCTTGTTTATTTTTTCTGAGTCTCCTCCGAACGGCGAAATGTTCGAGAAGTCTTCGATTTCGGTGACTGGTGGGATATCCCTACAATCCTATACCTCTGTCTGGAAATTCGCTAACATTGATTTATTTTTTTCCTTCTAGTCCGGGTGCGTCCCTTCAGCATTCGAGAAGCTGCTCAAGTGTTTGTTTACCCCATCCCGGTAGTTGGGTGGGGGGTTCCTCGGCTGACGAAATATTTCAGGACACGAATTGAAGATTCACCATCATTTTTTGGCGACGGTTCTCTCATTGCAGCGCCTCCTCCAAAGCTTGCGGGGAAAGGTATTCGAAGCGTAGTCAAAGTTATAGATGATCGTGTACTGTGCGTTGGCCCCCTTACCCTCATTTTTTGCACCAATCGGGGGTGAATCTGATTTAGTTGTTAGGGTATTCGATCCCCCGGAAGGAAATCCTGTAGCGCGGTATCAGAGGACGATTGTTCCACAGGGGAAGAGAGTCAAGGATATGCGATTTGGCTTCGATAAGGTTTTCGATGAGAGTGCTACTCAAGAGGATGTTTACGAAGCTACAACCAAATCGCTGCTGGACAGTGTATTGGACGGATATAATGCTACGGTGTTTGCTTATGGAGCTACTGGCTGCGGAAAGACACATACCATCAGGTTTGAAGGCCCCCACCCCCAGCCTTCCCTTGGTTCTAACTTGATTGTTCTTTAAAGTGGAACTCCACAGCACCCCGGGATAATTTTCCTTACTTGCGCAGAGCTATTCGAGAGGATCGGGTTACTAGCAGGCGAAAAGGATGTCGAACTGACGCTTTCGTATCTTGAAATCTACAACGAGACAATTCGGGATCTTTTGGTCCCAGGCGGGAGCAAGATAGGATTGCAGCTTCGGGAGGACTCGAGCCAGAATATCTCCGTTGCCGGACTATCAACGCACCAGCCAAAGAACGTCCAGCAAGTAATGAATATGATCTTGATGGGTAACCAAAATCGTACAATGTCGCCGACAGAAGCAAACGCTACCTCGTCTCGGTCCCACGCCGTTTTACAGATCAATGTTCTGCAGAAGCCGAAGACTGCTGGGCTTTCAGAGAACCATTTGATGGCGACGTTGTCGATTATTGATCTTGCCGGGAGTGAGCGTGCATCAGTCACCAAAAATCGGGGAGACCGGTTACTTGAAGGCGCCAATATCAATCGGTCCCTACTTGGTAAGCACATGCAACTTGGCCTTTGCTTATGCTAGTTCTAATTTTGAAAATAGCTCTGGGAAACTGCATCAACGCTCTCTGCGATCCTCACAAATCCAATCATATCCCTTACCGAGACTCCAAACTCACTCGATTGCTTAAGTTCTCGTTGGGAGGAAATTGCAAAACGGTCATGATTGTTTGCGTTAGTCCCTCTAGTCAGCACTATGAGGAGACCCACAACACCCTTAAATACGCAGATCGAGCAAAGAATATCAAGACCAAGATTTCCAGAAATACGATGAACGTCAACAGACATGTCAGCCAATATGTGCAAGCGATCTACGAACTCCGAAACGAGGTGGAGGAGCTCAAGAAGCGATTGGGTGATTCTACCAAGGAGGCGATGGGGAAGATTGCCCGGCAAGGTTCTGCTAAAGAGAACTCAATCAAGGATGGAATGAAGAGGCTGAGGGCGGCTTTCGAACAGTCCAAGGAAATGAGACGTGAAAGAGTTAACGATCTCAAGAACCTCAGGATGGTGGAGAGACGGACATCGGTGGTGGCTGCCTGGATAGCTGCCTTTGATCAGGCCTTTGACAGTTATCAGACTGAGGATCCCCCGGCTTGCGTGTTGAAGATGCGTGCTGAGGCACAAAGGGTCATCCTTGATCTGCGTGGGAACCACCAGTATCTTCAGCAAAAACTTGCTGGACCTAACTGGGAGAAGGTCATCGATTCTGCCCTACAAACTGGTCTGCGGAATCTGCAAGCCTTTGATGGAGTTACGGAAATCGATATCGCTACATTGACCTGCGAGGCCAATCTTCTAAGGATGACTGCTGAAAGAGATATCCTGCACGCGATTGCCGAAGCTGATGTGGACCTTTCATCCATGATCCATACCCTTTCGAAGGCCCACTTCGAGACTGTTGGCACGGTAACTCGTATTCTGGAGTCAAACGTAACAGAGGAGGAAGCACTGGAGATGGCTAAGAAATCCTTATTCGAGGTTCAACGGGGTGCGTCTGATGCCGCTTCTTATGTTATCAGGCCGAATGGAGAACTGGTTTCGGGCGAGTCTTACGATGCATACAAGCCTGCTTCGCCGCGGAAGAAGAAATTCCCCCGAGTAAGCCTGAGTATGGCTTCCCCGGCAAAGCCATCCCAACTCCCCCAACTCGGAATTATTCATTCTGCCTCGCCTGTGCGATATTCACCCCGGCCAGTCAAGGTCAAGACCCCGAAAAAGGCCGTCAAGTTTGGTAAGAAGAAGCGTGTGAGATGGCAGGATGAGACTGAGGATTCGTCGTTCACTTTAGAAGAACCGAGAGGAAAGAGATTGGAGGAGCCTTCAATTCTCTACGAGGACTCGTCATCCATACTAGTAGCACCCCTGGAGAGTGAACCATCATTCTCAGCAGCAGGTTTCTCCACAGAGGAAGCGCCTGGGATCATGCAACCACCCATCAGACCAAGGAACAACCGTTTAGCAGTAGGTTTCTTGTCGAAAAACAGGGAATCCATGGCGGCGGTTCCGCCTGCGGAGATCCCACTACCCTCAGACTCCCCATTAAGGTCGTTCGATACCGACCAGGCTATCAACAAAGTAAAGACGGACGCTGATGTTTTAAGTGATCTCAGTTCATCAGACGAGGCAAAGCCCTGGAGATCCCGCGCTCGTCCATCCAAAAGCGCCATGCGGAAATCAATCGCGTCGTCCACCGTCAGTAGGCCGGTAGGCAAACGGCGGAGCCCATCTAGCTCGAGCCAACTGAGCCCCGATAACGGGCTGTTCAAGATCGGACACGCGCGCAGAATGCTGCGAGGTGACAAGGAGAATGGAAGTATGACAACGGTGCTGAGTCCTAAGAGCAACGGCATCAAGATTGGAGCAAGGAGGATGACTATCAATGGGCCAAGCAACGGGAGCTTTCGAATCAGCGGTAAGAACGCGATGCTATTGGGTCAGATCAGCGAAGGAAATGAGAGGGAGAGTATGGCATTTCCTGGAAAGCAGAATTGGCGCTAGACGTTTGGTTTTTTCTTTAACACGCGAGAGTTTCTATTCTCTGATGTTTGGCGTAATTTGGATGGATTGCTTGTTTTATTTTCATTCTTTTCTCTTTCTTCTGCGGTAGTGGGGGAAAGTTCATTGAAGTGGAGGTCGTAATATCATCATTAGATGAAAGAGATTGGTGGTGCTTATGCGGCGCACATTTGAGGAATGAGTGTAGAGATGGGAGACCGACAATTCCATGCGGGCTCTTATCGTATGAATGCTTCTCCTAGGATGTTTTTTTCTCTTCCCTTTTTTCCCTTTCATTATCAGTGTGGATTATTCGTTTTTTCTTTCTTTGTCTGCCTTACTCCATTCCACATTATAGCGGCCACTCGCTTTGTTTTCCTTGTTTTTGTTTTTTCAAGTGGGCTTTGTCGACACCATTCATACCGGCACAGTACAGTACCTGCCGGGAAAGTTATGTTCATGTTTACCTTAGATTCCGGGGGGGGGGTTGACGCGGAGTTAATGTTTTAAGAAGCCGAGAGAAGGTATTTTCTCTTCGATGGGGGAGGGGGGGGCTTTTGGAAGCTTAATTCGATTATAAACTTGATTTGAACTGTACTAGTATTCTTATGGATTGCAATGTTTTTCATGAATTCTATGGCTTATAGTGAGATACCGGTAGTTGGTTTCGTAGTAGGGGGGTCCCGCACCTCAGGATGTCGGACCCGGGAGGCGCGCCCCAGTCTTGGCAGGGACGGATAGCCCCACCCCTCCGTGCCTATTGCCGTTATGTACCTTTCCTTACTTTATCCACACTTCATCTTTCCTTCCTCCGTCCGAGATCACCACCACGACACCACGACAAAGACAGCACTTGACGACCGACGAGCATTCCCAAGATTTCCTCCTTTCCGTGTTATCATACCCACTACACAAACATATCCTCACCTACCAACCAGTCGGACCCCCACCAACCACCATTAGCCAAAAGGGAAGAGAAAAAGAAAACGGAACCCCCACCAAACCAGAAATGACAACAATCGAAGTACCTTACCTCCCCATTCCCCATTCCCCACTTCCCACTTCCCACTACACACCCCATACTAACCCTCCTGCAGACCACCCCCACCCCAAAAACTCACACCCTCCTCCTAAAGTCCCACCGAACAACCATCCTCCTCTACGCCCATGAGACGGACACCCTCTCGCAACTAAAGTCGCAGATATACGCCCACCTCAGAATCAACGCCTCGAGCCTGGAAGCCCTCAATTCCGGCCTCAGGATTCCCGGTTCCGCGGACGAGATCGTGCTCGCGCTGCCGGAGGCGGGTGGGGGGTGGGTGGAGGTGGAGGGGCAGGACAGGGAGGTTTGCACCATTGCGAGTTTGGGCGTCAGGGATTCTGGGATTCTGGCTTGGAGGGTTGTCGGGGAGGGGGGGTTTTTGGTTGAGGTTGCTGGGGCGGAGGAGGAGGAGGAGGTGGGGGATGGGGAGGAGAGGGATGGGGGAGAAATGCATGGGGGGGAAATGGACGGGGAAGAAGTGGATGGAGAGGAAGAGTGAGTGAGTGAGTGATGGGAGGGAAGTTTCTTTTTCTTTTTTCTTGATCTCTTTGCTGGGGTGGGTCATCATCATCATCATCATAGCTCACTCGAATCTCTAATTTACGGGAAACTCACAGTTGCGGGTGGAGGTGGTTTGCGGGAGAGCAACGTGGGCACTAGACTTTGACATTTAGCTTAATCCTGTCTGCAGGTATTGATGTACGTTTTGTACCGGCGGTTGTTCTCGTGATGACTTTTAATATCCTGCCTGTTATCTTTGAGAATAACCTTTCCACCATGTACAGAATACCGTAGTGCATCCTTTCCCCGAGCAAGCAAGCAAGCATTCTAAAAAGAGAGGACAAATAACAAAATTCATACTTTTATCTTGATCACCCCACCCTACTCATCCTTCTTACCCCTGTTAATCAATTCCTGCACCATCGCCGCCTTCTCCGCATTCCTGAACTCATCACGCTTATATGCAATGAACAAAATGGTACCCGTGATGGCAACGATGGCGTCGATGATATGCACAGTCCACCACACATGCTGGATACCAAGTTTGCAAGTTTGGTATTCGAATTTCCAGGCTTTCAGTCATTCGCTCCAGAATTAGTACAGTGGGTAGAAAGAGGGGGTGGGGGAGACATACAATCACTTTCAAAGTCAAACCAAGCAGACACTAACCCAGCATTTCCGCCGAACTCACCCATCATGCTTCGCACCGTAACCTCCCTCACGCCCTCCAGCTCGTCTTCAACGGGGCCACTCTCCACAGCTTCGGTAGCTTCAGCCCTTGGCGTTTTCCGCTGCCTCCACTCCTCCCACGAGCTCCGATTCCAGCCAGTTTCTCCGCCGACCCAGTTGTGGCGTACGTCGCAGCCGACGTGGTCGTGTCCTGTGAGCACCATCCCACGTTCCTTCGCTTTAGCGTCATCATCACCAGCCGGCACGCCGAATACCCAGCCGAGGAGCTGCTCGCTGACGGTTTCCGAGAGGTGGTTCTGCTCTCTTATTCCCCCACCGTAATGGGCCGGGTAGTGCGTCACTAGTGGCGCATCGGCGCAGAGGCCAGCGGGTTTGTGAAGGGGGAGGTGCGTGAGGAGGAGGGAGGACTGGCGGAGGGAGGGGGATTTGGACTTTAGCGATTGGTTCAGGAGTGCGTATGAGGCGTCTTGTATCGTGGGGTCGAATACTGGGGAGTCCAGCGGAAGGGAATTTAGAATAATTAAGCGGAGGGTTGGGGGGATGTTTGGTGACTGTCCTTCTCGAGTTGTTGTGCCGGTGGTATTGCTAGCACTGACAGCATCGGGAGTAGTGGAATCATTGGGCATAAAGTTGACCATGTAATTAACAACCCCAAACATCTCCTCGAACCGCTCGATCCGACTCCAATCCATATCCCCAGCATACCCGATATCGTGATTCCCTGGAAGTATGATTACCTTTTTTCGCCAGACTTCCCTGGCCTCCTCATCTGCGGCGATATCCCCCGCGTGTCTCTGCACATCCTCACTCGTAACCTTCCCCTCCTCTCCACCGAAGATCCTCCAGAACCTCTCCCCGCGGATCTTGAACTCCTCATCGCTGATCCAGTGCGAGCCCAGCAGGTCGCCCAATACTACCGTGTGGGTGGGCGCTAGCGACTGTCTGGTGCTGCGGAATACATGGCGGAGGTAGAGATCGTTGCCCCAGAGGTCCAGCACCTTGCCTAGTCCGCGGAGGGTGAGGCCGATGTCGGTAGGGTGCACATAGTCCCATAGAGAGGATGTGTCTGTTGTTTCCGCCGACCGGGCAGTTCTGTACTTCTCCAATGTCGAGTCGCCCTCCAGTTGTGGGTCTGCCAACGCTAGCAGGCGGAAGGGTGCCGAGCTGCCGTCCGGTTGAGGCGTGAAGGCACAGAAGTGGAAGACGGGGTAGAAGTATAAGTACAGGTTCAGGAAAACGGCTAGTGGGAGGAGTAGGTCTATGTGAATTATTATTAAGAGGTTTTTTATCGTCATTTTGGTGGGAGACCCCGGGTTTTGGGCATGTAGGTGGAAAGGGGGAAGAGAAAGGAGGAGAACGAGGGTTTGGGGAAGAGCTTTGTGGATAGAATAGGACAGGCAGCAAAGAAGGAGAAGGGCTTTTCGAATCAGCGCGTTTAGAGTGTGGACGCTATGGTCAGATGTGTAGCGCAGTGTAACTCCACTAACTCACCTCCCCATCGCCACCGTTGCCAGTTGCTCCCCCAGCCAGCTCCCAACTGGCTTAGTCTACCGGTAATTAGGTTGAGTCCAGCCGCTGCGGTAAGGTGTTTTGACCAGACTCGAACATGGAGCTTGTCAGGGTCTGAATCACGTTGCACAAGAAGAGTCTAGGCTAAAAAGTTACAGTAGTAAACCCAATCACAGGTAAAACACCCGCTTAACGGTACTCGAGTACCGGTATTTTGGCATCCGTATGGGGATCCTATCATACAAGCTTATATTACGGGTGGAATTTTTTAAAAAAGGGGGGGGGTTCGCGAATTCGGTAGAAGCGGAACTACGGAGCCCTGAGGCACACCTTGGGCAACAGGCGAAATTGAGTTCTGTACGAGTACGGTCCTGTAAAGGAGTATACCGTAAGTTAAGTTGATGGGTGATACCGGTATGGCATGCAACACTTGAGGTTAACTAGGGAGCCACGATTGGGTATGGCACGAGTTAAATGTGAGTTACTGGCGTGCCGGGAAGCGGATGTCTTGGAGACTGTCTCGCCTTGCGGTGAGGAAAGTGTTTTTTGTTCGTTCCCGCTTCCGTTCAGCGAGGAATTCCGGAACCAATCAACATACGGCCGACCAAAGCCCAATCCTCAACCAGGTTCTCACCATCCAAACCCATTTCATGAGGACAAGGATCCATTTATTCCCCAAGCGCCACAGTAGCCTCCGTCCCTCAATCACATGAAAAGCGTGGTAGACTCCGGAAGAAAGTAGTTGTAGAGAGAAATAGGAAAGAGAAAAGAGACAGAGGGAAAATGGCGAATAAGGACCTAGAGGAACCGAACGACCTTTTATGTTTTGCTTTAGAAATCCCATTTGCTTTTTTTTTTAAATTACAACACCAGAGTTTGAAGCAATACGCTAGGGGGAATAGATAATCAGTTTAAGGTTCTAAGGAGAAAGGCACGGATAACTCACAGGCCACAAGTCCGCCGCCTCTTTGCCGACAGGGCCAGTAATAGCAGATCCCTTCATCTCGCCCTTAGGATTGACGATCTAACCACCCCACCCCACCGTCGTTAATTCTCCTTCTCCCAAAATCGGCTCCCCCAGGGATGTACGTACCACCCCAGCATTATCCTCAAAATACAGGTAAAGCCCGTCAGCCCTCCTCCACGGCTTGCTCTGGCGTACAACAACTGCTGGCATAACCTTCTTGCGCAATTCAGGCTTTCCCTTCTTCACTGTGGCCATAACCATGTCGCCGACACCGGCGGCCGGGAGACGATTAAGACGAGCACCGATTCCCCGAACGGAGATGATGTACAAGTTGCGGGCACCGCTGTTGTCGCAGCAGTTCATCACCGCGCCGACGGGGAGACCGAGGGTCATCTTGAGCTTGTTCCCGGAGGCACCTCCACGGCTTTATTCATTTCATTAGCCTTCCGGGGAAATTGTAGAGTGCGGAAGCGGGGTGGGATTATACCCTCTTTTTGCCATTTTGACTTGCTGCTTGGTGGGTTAGTTGTGGAAGATTGGGATTGATGGGGGGGAGTGGAGTCCGTGAGTTTTCGGGGCGGCGTCGTGGAAATTCCTGAGTGCTGCTGGTCGAAAGTTTGGTTTTGCCTGGGTTGATGCGGTTCTGTGGGTGTGGTTGTTGGGTGCATTTGAGGGTTTGGGGCGGTGACAATTGATTAGGGCTTTTCTTGGAACTGCCAGTCACAGTTGATCTGATTAGATAACACTAATCTGATGAGGATCACGCGAATCATGAACTGTGATTGGGCGAAGGTTGTAGGGGATAATGCGGGTAGGTTGGTTAAAAATTACTGTTATGTGTATTAATGATGGCTTTCCTAGGTGTGATTCATGAGAGACATAACAGGGCCTCATCTCCCATGAGCCCAATCAATAAGCCGCGTTATTATCCCCTGTTGGGGTTACGACCAAACCTCTCGTATCGCCGAATTCGATTACTTAGTATATATCGTGACATCCTCGGCTCTTACCAACCCACACGCCGTCCCCGCAGTAGCCCATCCTCCACAATTATCGTTGGGGTTCCAGCAGACAGAAGTAATGGCAGATTGCTCTGGGTAAACCTATCAATCGCACAATCAGCTAGTCAATTCCACCCACCCTCTTCCCCCCTGCTGAAAATAAACCTACCGTCGAATGAACCATAGCGCTGAGCGGCTCCTTCATCTCGAGCTTAAACCCCTCGTTAATCCTAAACATCCCCGTGCTCTGCGCAAACTCTAGCTGGAACCAAGTCTGCTGGTAATTCTTGATCTTCGCGTGAAACATTCTCCGTGCCGGGTTCGAAAAGATAGCCTCTCCCTCGGTGCCCCCACTCAACACAAATGTGTGCATTCTGGAGGAGGCGACGGAGCTGCTGACGCCAGCGTGCCGGGCGAGCATGGTTGAGGAGTAGAAACGGCGGAGCGGGTAGTACTTTATCCATGCTCCTTCTTCACTAGACACGGCGGCTTGGAGAGCGTCGACCCAGGTGATTGACTGAGGCGCAATGCGGGAGCGGTTGTTGACTATTGTGTCCGCAAAAGGGTCCAGAAGGGAGGTTAAACGGCAGTAGCCGTCCATTGAGGCGGTTAGAATGTGGTGGGGGAAGGATGGGTAGCAGGTTGCAAGCTGAGTTATGTAGCTGTGGTGGAGGGGGAAGAGTTGGGTGGGTATGAACTCTATTGTAAGGCGCGTTAGTTTCGCTCCTCGAGTATAAGAGCAAGGGAATGAGTGGCTGGTACCCCCCTCGAACTTATAGCGCAGATCCCATACTGCAATTTCTCCGGTTGTGGTACCGGCCACGACCTCGTGGTCGGATATCCAGGCTAGAGAAGAGCACATGGAGTCCTTTATTGAGCATTCAAACGCTGGTTCTATTATCTTCACTTTTGAATAAGCCAAAGTCATCAGTAATCACTCGTGGAACTAGATCAGAGGAACGATATGGCCCACAGAAGATGCAATCGCCGTCGGTATCGTCGTCTGGTAGGACAATTCTCACTACTCTCAATTTTCCGTCTCGGAATACACCCCCGAGTAGGCCTAGCTCCCTTTCATTCCCTGGTGTTTTCTTTATCGGACACCATGAGAGGTGTTGCGCATAGCCCCATTCATGACATAAAGCCAATGCCATGGACGGCGGATCACTGGGCTTTACATCCTCAGAAGTAGGGAAGCGCCAGATCTGTATGCATGAAGGGGAGGGTTCAGGGGCATATATAGACTTTGTCATTAGTTTCGGTTCTGGGAACTGTGATCTATCGGGACCTGATTTTTTGGTAGATATCGCGAGATACTGAACGCCTTATATCAAGATTAGCCCCCAAGAAATGGCGCGGGGAACAACTCTTCTCCGTACCTTTTGGCCTATTTGGTGCCCATTCCATACTTACCACGTGTCCTCCAGCGTTTAATATGTATCCCTTTTTATGTTCTCCAGATTCCTTCAGGTTAAATATCCCAAACCTTTGGAACGTCAACAGTTTTTGCTCAGCTCCGGGACCAATGATACACTTGATTGGCTCCTCGACTTTAGATGGCATATACATCTCTGCAGTGGCCTCTGTCCCATCTTCCGAATTCGCGCCATAATACTCCATCCTCTCAGCCTCCTGCATCCCATCACCTAAATCGACTAATTCATCCTGCCCTTCCTGCCAGAAAGGATTCGGCTCAAAACTGCCCTCTTCCGGCACTGCCGGGACCCCCAAAGAGCGGTCTCGGACACCCGTGGCAATTACCAGCGCATGAGTATTCATTCCGTATGTGGTGAATAGCCTCTCCCGCTTTCCAGTTGCCTGATTAATCCGGGGACGGTAGGTAAGTTTGACACCAGGATTTGGCAGTTTAAGAGCAAGAAATCCGTCCTCCTCCGCATCGGAATTAGTCGTATCCTCACTAGCAGCTCTCCTCCGACGCTTTCTCGAAGCCCTAGGAGCACGGAATTCGTGTCGGCGGTGGACCCGAGCACTTGCTGAATTTGTTAATGCGGTGGCGTCCCTGCGGCGACCAGAGGATCCTTCAGATATTCTCCCTCCTACTTTCCCCCTTTTTCGTGCACTCCCTCGCATCCGTGGGGTCTCTTCTTCAGAGACATAAACGTCTTCCTCCCCCCCCTCCTCCTCCTCCTCGTCTTCAAAGCTGTCAGAATTAGCGTCCGATGCAGATTCATCTTGTCTGGAAATCTTTGGTGGACCCCGTCGGCTGGAGGATCTAGTTTTCTCTGGGATGTGGTATTCATCGTCTTCGTTCTCTTCGGGGTGTTCGGCGTCGCTGTCTAGGTCTTGGTATGGATCGACGGAGTACCGGACGGGCTTGGCTGCCCGCGAGCTTCGGGTTGTGGGCATTGTTTGGGATATTTTTTATGGGTAGTGAGTGGAGTTATAAGTCCTTGTTGAAGGTTGCCCCGGGATGGCGCAGAAGCCTGGGATCTGCGGTGGGACGCTCAAGGTGGGGGCGAAGCTCAGGATATCTCTTGGGTCAAATCTGGTGCGCAGATATTCCAGTGATTTCATTAAGGTTCAACCCAACCTGGCGGCTCTGCATTTGGTGGTCACGTGGTTCAACACTGGCATAGAAGAGTTACCCGGACATGCGGATTCCTAGGTATCAGACTTCACTCAACATGACTGGTCACCATGAGTGCAAAAGGTGAGACAGCCCAAAGTGAATGCTTGATGTGCGGGGCTGGGGGAAACTTGGGCCGTGGGTTTCACTGGAGCCTAATTGATTCATGGCTGGAGACTTGTGTCTTGGGAAATGTGTCTATTTTCATTTGCCAATAGTTCTGGCTCTGCCCAGCGGTTGTGAAGTGACACAGGGCTACTTGGTGAAAGGATACAGTAGCAGGATGCCCTACTGAATTGCCGCATAATTTTTTCCGGTATTTAGTTTCCTTCGGGGGTTTATCCAGGTTTTTGGGGAAGGTGATTTTTTTGCGAGTTGGGGGTTGGGAACTGCTTTGAGTTGTTCAGGTCAGGTGAGGATATCGATTCATCATGGGAACGGTTGATATCTCATGATCTCGCTTTTTTTTTGCACTCCATTGGCAACATCGGTGCACTTCCAGCCGTCCGCATGATTGGCGTTGCTTCTGTTCGTTGGCACAAGGCATCCGCGTAAGCTCTTTGGAACAAGCAAAGAATGTCTTGGGGCTGCATCGAGGTCGTGGAGCCCAGCTGAGCCGTGATCTTGGTGAAGCCGGGACTTTCATGGACATTTTCCTCCTCAGATGTCTCTCCTGACTTGCGCCCTGTAAAGATCTGAGTTATTCCCCCCAACCCCCCCACTCCCTCCCCGATCATAATAAATAATTAGATCATAACCCCCCTTCCTCCCGTCGCCGATTCCTATCATCCCCGGAAGAGCGCCACACCGGCATTAGTTCGTACTTTATACCTGCGATGTTGAACACTTTCCAGCTGCTTCTCGTGGGTTATTTGGTTCCTGCTGCTCTTGGCCAGACTGCGGTGATATCGGTGACTACATCGGGGCCACCCAACTTTTTTACCGACCTTCCGGGACCCGCGATTACTGACCTTGTACCTACTACGACGAGTAGCCTCGATGGAGGACCATCGGTGTCTGGTTCGAGTGGGAATATTGGGTGGGGTTCGTCTACGTTGTTAAATGAAACTCCTTCTGGTTTTCTTACGACGACTCGTTCAAGTTGGACTGTGGCTGTCACGAGCGCCCCGGAACCCGCGAGTACCCAACCCTGCAATTTACACGCCGAGTTTTGTACTCGGCGGTATAGCGATATCACCTATATTGGGGCTCATGGCTCGCCGTTTGTGAAGGAATACAGTCTTGCAGATAATCAGAATTTGGATGTGAAGGCTCAGTTGAATGATGGTATACGTATGCGTATGTGTACTCGCTTGCTGTCCCCCCTCTTGAATTTGTACTGAGGAGGAAATAGTTCAAGGGCAGACACACAAGGAAAACGGAACTCTGCACTACTGTCATACAAGGTTGGTCTCTAGAGATTCCCTCTGTCTAGGAGATTCAACTCACTTACCAATCCGCACAATAGCTGCGGTCTGCTCGATGCTGGGCCAGTTGAGCACTATTTAAAAACAGTCGTGGAATGGCTGCGAGACAACCCTTTTGAAGTTGTCACCATCGTAATAGGGAATGGTGACTTCCTTAACGTCGGAGATTACAAGGAACCTTTGGAAAGATCTGGTTTGGCGGAACTTGCGTATGTTCCCAAGGAACGGAACATCAGAATAGCCCAATGGCCAACCCTCTCGGAGATGATCCAGACGGGTATGTACGATGCCTCTGAGCAGCTCGAGCGCACTGAGTGCTGACCTTTAGCAGGCAAGCGAGCTGTGGTATTCATGGACTATAAAGCCGATGAGGGCACCATACCCTATATTTTGGATCAGTTTAAATACATGTGGGAAACACCATTCTCGCAAACGGATGAAAATTTCCCCTGCACGATTGACCGGCCTCCGGAACAGCCCAAGAACGACACACAAGGAAAGCTATACATGGCAAATCATAATCTGAATACGGAATTTTTAATTGGGGGAAAAAAGATTTTGGTCCCCAACACTGTTGACCTTGATCAAACCAACGGAGTGTCAGGGTTTGGATCATTAGGCCTCATGGCGAACAATTGCAGAGGTTTGCTCCTCTCTATTTCTGGGTGGATGGCACGGCTAACAAGGATGGTAGCTGATTGGGACCGGTACCCAAATATTCTTCTAGTCGACTTCTACGACGTCCCAAAAGGCTCCGTCTTCGAAGTCGCCGCTAGAGCAAACAATGTTTCATTGGGTGGCGGATGCTGTGGGAAGAAAAAGTCCACTGCGCCAATACTGGCGAAGGCCACGGGTTTGCTTTTGCTCCTCCCAACTCTCGCAATGCTTTTTTGTACTATTTTCTAGTCAGGTATATCGTGGGAAGGCGTGTTTTTTCTTTTTCTTTTCGTTCTTTGTTTATCATCAAGGCTTCGGCATAAAGCGACCTCATTGGGGTGTTTTTCATTTTGAGGCGCAGAGCTGTCCTTTTGTGGTTATGGATTTCGAGTAGGTTGGGTACTGCATGCATATTGGCTATGCACACTTTTTGGATTTTGGGATCGGGTCGCGGAATGGCGAATGTACATTGGCAGACCAGAAGGACATGGAAGGCCCCTTCATTAGAAGGCTTTACAGTTCTATTTGGAGGGATTTTGTACTGGGCTCTTTGGGGGTTTAATCACAGGCGGCCATTCGAGTGATTACCAGCAAAATTTCCATTTGAGCATGGTAAATTTTTCTTCCTTTAAAACCGGTCAGGCTCTCTGTTACATGAGGTAAATTTCGCATGCGCCCCCTGACCGAAATTTTTAGCAGGGGCTGAAATATACTATTCTCGCACAATAACAGCATGTCTACCTGCCTACTTACCTACCCTACTACCCTACCTCACAATCATCATGAAATCACTCCCGGAAGACCTCCTTTCCCCGCTAGGCTAGCCGAAGAGTGGTGGCCCGAATTACTTCTCCGTTCCGTTGAAACTGCGATGCATAACTTGGAACATATCATGTCAGGAAGCCTGACCATCCTCCCCCCCTTCCATTCTCCGGGAAAAGTCTGGGTGCGGGGGTGGGAGTTATTTGAGAAGCACTCCCCCCCAATTCCCTCGTCCTGGAGGTACCTTAGATGTGAGTGCAGAAGAGAGGAAATTAGAGGCTGATAGCACTGAACGCCGTGCGATTAGCCCAGTTTGTATCACATTCTATAATTAAATATTGCAAGTAGTGTTGTTATCGATAAGCAAGGCGTTGCTCGAGGGCAGAAAAAAAGCAAGTTTGTATGAGATGGCGGTAATTTTAGAACATGGTAAGTTACCGTACAGTATTGTGTTGCTGCGCCATTTGTACCTGTACGAGTACCGCAAAAACTCGCCAAACTCGCTATGCAGGGAGGAGAATTTTGGCACTAATGTGTGGCAATACAGCCAAGATCGTTCCAGTGACCAACCTCTTTTCTCTTAGCTGATGAGACCAGCATCATTATTACAGTATTTTATTTAGGAACCGGCACCGATATACAGCTATTCTCAGGTGTTATTGTCATTTTCCGTCATTTCTCAGGGTAAAAAAGCTCCTATCCAGTCCCTAGCGCCAATACCTGCATAGCGAGTTTGG